GCCTATATTCAGAAACTCTCTCTGCGACTCTACAGAAGTCGATACTGTAGCATAAACGTGATCGGCTCGAGGCGCTTTGTCCTCTACCCTTTCTATTAATTCGAATGTCCTTCTCATTCTCACGGAGCTCCTCGCAAAAAATAAACCCGCCAGCAACTCGAAGACAGACTAAAAAATCAAACAACGGTCCGTGAGTGCTCGCGGAAATCGGAAAGAAGAAGTCTCAGCACTTTTATAGGTTTGCAAGATTCTAGGAAATTCAGCGAAACAGCGAGCTGAGAAAATAGAAACTGGCAGAGAAGGAAAAAATAGCGACAATCTTGATTATAAAAAGCTAATGCTCTGCTCCACTAATTAGATACTTTAATTAAAACCCACTCGAGGTTAGTTTTGAGCAAGGCAAGATGGCTGTGGATTGTCCTAACAGGCAAAGCAACATTTTTCGCGGTCCTCTCTTCGAGCTAGAAAATTTGCCTAGTACTTCCACGTCGTACAGAGTGGCGACCCATTTTTATACTGGACATACAGTAGCGGTCACAAGTGTTTGCCGAAACTGATTTTCGTGCTTCCTTTTTTTGCAGGAAAAAAATCAGTGATGGCTTCGAAATTTTTTTTTGAGACTTGAGAATATAAAAACATTAGGAATCGTAGTATATCAACCTTTGGAAAGCGATAAAAAAAATTTCTGCGCTAAAAATCGTTTCGGCGAACACTTCTGATCCTATGTATAAAATGCGGAACAAGGAATAAACTGAGCCTTACAGCATGACGCTAGCAAGAAACTTCACAGTTCAGTGATTAAGAACTATGTTTTATTACCGACAGCAAGTTCGCTAGGAGGGGGGAGCGTGGAGTGGCGCTGGTGTGCGGTTGTACGCGGCAAAACATGAAACTCTACAGTAATCCAATGGCTGGTAATGGTCGCAATGTATGGTAGCGATGGCAGAAATTTACGTGGCATTAACGTGGCATCGATTCAAGAACATCTTTGAGCACACGTGATGTCACCTTTTCATCGAGAATTTAGCCACGTGTGCCAATGCCACGTCAATTTCTGCAATTGCACAATTTCTGGTCATTTGAAGGCGAGGGTACAGTCTAACGAATGCAGTAGGAGCGTTGCATCTCACAATAACCGTCGTAACGTCTGATTCGCATCGTAATCTCTTGCTTGTTTCACTCTATCCATTATCTTTTCAGGTATGATAATACTCAGTTGGGATGTTACCTGGCTGAGTATCGTAATCCTCGCCTCGCTAGGCGAGGCGCTCGAAGTGTACACCAATCACTTCCATGTACACACCAAGGAACCCGGTCTAGAGAACGCGCACAAAATCGCCAAGAGACACGGTTTCATTAACAGAGGATCGGTAAGCCCTTCATCATCAGTGCATAGATAGAGTTTATTCTTCCTTCATTATCAGTGAAGTCAGAAGGGCAAGTTGTGATGAGTTGTCGCGCCTTTTTCTGAGATCAAATCCAGGAACTGAAACTTTTGTTTGAATTCATAAACTATTATTCATTTAATGAGAAACACATTACCTACAATTTCACTTAACATACTCATTATGTTCTTTCAAAAGCGCTCATTGTTCGGAACTCTAGGAACCTTAACTAGATTTTCTTTTTGAATATTCGCTGATAAGTTTCAATTCCAAAGCCATCCATTGAACGAGCCTAAGGCATCGCAAGGTACCTAAACCACTGTTATTGAAATTTACCAGCTTATTCTGTTGCTTCAGAGAGGGAGTACCGATAAGAAGCAACCCATTAGAATCAAGTTACAGTTGGCTAGTGGTGCCGGATGAAGAAAAACCATGAGAAATGGCCAGAACCCGAGAAATGGGACCCCTTCCTTGCCCGTTGATTTCCGCATTGATGCGACTCTCATCGTGCTGCCCTCTTCAACGCTAACGCTCTCTCTCTGCTGAACGGCTAGAGACCTGCGACGAGTGATTAGCCAGCCGGTAGGCATACCGGTAGCGCCGCACGGATGGCTATAGTAGATTACTGGGAGCATATGCGCAGCGAGTTGCTGTCGGTCCAAATCCTTTGGGAGTCCGCCCATCTTTCCACTAGATAAGTTTCCCTTACTTCAACCTTCGACCTGGAATCCTCCTCCAATGATTCACCCCAAGCCACGCGAGACGTGGTTCATTGTAATGACTTAGAACTGCCGGAGCATCAGTGCCTTGGAAGCAGAGGTGGAATAATGCCCACAAAATCGCGAAAATCCATTGTGCAGTGTAAACGTGTCACCTCTAGATTTTGACATCATTATTCAGTGATTGAGGGGAGTAGGGCAAATTAGGGAGCCTGCTGAGTTCTTTGAAGTATGAATAATTCTCTATGGAAATGCTAACTTAAAAATGGCAAAAAAAGTTTTCTCCAGTATGTCCTTTTTCGAGAGGCTCGTGACGTTGTATACGGTTTACGGGTTACTTGAACTTTCTTCCATGGTCCTGCCACGAATGGCGGAGAGCACAGACAATTAGAGAACGGCGCCTGGCTCGGCTCCAAATCCCAAGGAAGGAGGTGAGAGCCTAGGACTAAGCCTTGGAGGAGGGAGGGACTCCGAGGTGGGTGAGCCAATTACAGTGTGGCAAAAGTTTGAATGTGTGAGATCACAGTGGTCATGAGCCGCTGATAAGGCGAGAGAGCGCAGACGAGAGCATGGAATTGAGGCGGCTTAAAGGACCGAGTTCAAGTAGTCCGTCGACCCGTTGTATGAGAGTGCAGCAGCGCGTGGCAGGCTGGCTCAGTCTACGGTAGCATTCTTGCGTCGAATCATTTCAGGAAATGGTAATATACCTCTATCACCGTTTATTGTATTGCACCTACTCAAAAATTACTATCGGTATATTGCCCTATTCGTTCGGAATTAGAGAGAATTCAAGACTTTATGATGAGAAATAAGAGGTAAAAAAAGAAAATTGGTAGAAGGGCGTCCGGCAATCTTCTTATTGTTAGCGCATTTCGGTCTATTCAAGTGTAAACGGATGTTATTTATTTGTTTATTTTTGTATGTGCTTTTGGCACATAAACAAGTACAAATTAATCCAACGGGAAATGTCAAAAACAAGTACCCATTACTGGAAGGAGCATGCAAGGTAATAAAAGAAATAACAAACGAAAAGTGATGATTATTTCGAGGTGTCAAAACCTTTGCGTCGAAAAGCCTCAATTTGTCCTCACTTTAGATAGCGCCTCTGAATTGAGCTGTATGTTCTTTTAGGCAATATGAATTTTTTGACAATTTTGTAAATTTCGGTAGCTGCCCTTCGAAGCAAAGAACTTGGTCCCTAATATTCGTCCTAGGACGCGCAACAAAAAGCTTATTTGCTTGAAGACGGCACCGCATTTCAATGCCGCACGAGTGATGTCACTTTCACCACGTGGATCTCCTGGCACACACCCAGGTAATGCGTAATAGCTCGGTATTCTTTGGATGATGGTGGTCTTCAGAAGGTAGCTATGCTTCCATAAAAAAGCCACTTTTTAAAGAGGAGCCAACCACCTCTTAATCACGTGCATTTCAAATTCTACCCGCTTCTGCGCAGTCTATCGCATCGCAAAATCGCAGCGATCATTCCAAGAGTATCAAGTCGACGGGATTCCACGTGTCCTGAAATTGTACGAAACTTTTTCTGCCATATGCAGCTTAGCAATAAGTGGCTCATTCAGGTAGTTCTGAAGTCCTGAAAATATGAAAGGGTAGCCGCTGCGCTGTCGACTTTCATGCTTTATTCTTATAAAGAGGAGAAGGGAAGCAATAGATGTCGAGTCATTTCAGCCAAACACCTTGCCTAGGTCCACTATTGAACGGAATATTGCCATTGGGTCGGAATCTAGGTCATGAATTCCAAGAGAAAAATGATGTGGTAAAGAAAGCAGAGAATGAGGTGGAATGTTTGAAGGCAAAAGGAATAGAATCTGTCAAAAACGCTGAAATTTAATTTGCTCACGCATGTGATGCGGCTCTGCTCAGATAATGAAACGCTGAGCGCAAAAAACAGAGGATGGGGGAGAGAGCACAACGGAGGGAGATGGCGCAGACAGACAGACGCCGCGAATGAAGTGAAGTGGAAGCGGTCTAAGCAGCCCAGTGTCCTTCACGTATTTTCGAGCTGGAAGAACGGGATACCTACGGCCATAGTAGGCAGTCTTATCCCACTCACCGAAATGAATGATCAACTTTTAACTCATAATAGAATTCAGAGTAAAACTATTCAGGTCACTTAATTGAGGTCTGGTATCCCAAGTAGATTTTTATTTAATATTCATTCAGGTTCTCGGCTCTGAGCACGAATTCCATTTCGTGCAACCGGCACTTTCACATGCCAGGACAAAACGATCAATTGGCCATCACGCAAAACTACACAACGACGATGACGTGAGTTGAAGAAGACCTGAGAGCGAGCCTAAAAAGGAAGGAAAGAAGGGAGTCACATTAAGAAGATTTATAGCTGTCAAATTCAAAAGCCAAAATGAGGCTCCAGCCGGAAAAAAGGGAAGAAGAGCTCGGCGTCAATCATTTTGCGTTTGAAACTTTGCCCTTCCACCCATGACCTAATACGGGATATAGAGGGCTCAGCAGCCGCGAAAGGGGTCCCATTGACTGCACCATACAAATTCAGGTAATCTGAAGCACTTCATCCACTTCTGAACTTTTGGCACTGCAAAGATTCTCTTCCGGACTAAAATTCATTTATTTGTTTATTTATTGTTTGTGTTACTTATATTTGACGCACACCTAAACTCGCTGTTACGGATCCAATAAAACACAAACATGTACAAGACAGCGTATCGATATTGTATTCTAAAATCTAGCATTTAGGTGGCTCACGTCGAACAGCTCACCGGATACAAACGCATCAAGCGGGGATACAGGTACTTTTAGCGATTTTTCTGCCCGAAAGCTGCTAATCCTACTATCTTCAATTACAGACCGCTGGCCGAACGTCTGCAGAGTCAGTTCGACTTTTCTTCTGTACAATCCCCCACCGATCCTCTCTACAATTATCAGTGGTACCTGGTGAGAAATATTGAGTGTTGAAATCTTTGCTACACCATTTATTATCACTGAGAAGGATAAATAGGGCACAGAAAAACAATCAATATTTATATTTCGTTGAGTAATGCCTCATAATGTCTCATAATGCTTGTCTCATAGCTAATACATTCCTAATGCTCATAAGTTCCTAATGAGCAGGACCGGGTCACGTACCCCTTTGTACATTTAATTTGTTTTCAAAAAATTCCTAGGACCATTAAAAATCATATACGGTTCCTTTTCAGAAAAACACCGGCCAAGCTGGTGGTAAGGCACGACTCGATCTGAATGTGGAGAAGGTTCGACTTTACATATTTTTGGTCTCTTTCTGGAGTATTATAGTGATCTTTATCATAGAGTCAACCGAACTTGGCGGTCTTTGCCTCACATTCAAGGCTTAATTAGCACCAGTTCGAATTGCCATCGCTAAGTGACGGGTCGCGATGAGTTCTTTAGAGCAGTTCTCCATTACTGAGTGGCAGGTTCCCTTGGCACAGAAGTCGAGACACCATCAAGGTTCAAACGCACTCGTCGATATGGTCACTAGCCATTAAGGTCTCTCAGGGCGTGCCAAGCTTTTCCCTAGTTCGATTCCTCGTGGTGACAAATTTTTGCATTTCGAGTTGACGTTCCAAAATTCGCGCAAAATGGAGTTAGCATGAATAATTAGTACCATATTCATGATTAGGACCGTCAGTAACCCTTACAAATAGACTTTGATTAAAAAACTGGTGAAAAAGGTGTGACACCACAGTGGGGCTGCTTGGTGTCACACCTCTTTCACCAATTTTTGAGTCAAATTTTTTAAGGGTTACTTTAAGGGTTACTTATGGATAAATAATTTACTGAAACAACCACGTCCAAATTAATTTCGAACCAGTAAAGGGAAATTAAGTAAAATTTCCCTTTTCATGGCCTTAACACGTCATTTCGGTCAAACTTCCATTACTGTAACTCCTGATAAGCTAGACAGATCGAACATCATTGAAAACATTTCATCGCATCTAAGTATTGCGTATTTACAGCTCAAAATCCATGGATTTGTGTGCGGCGGCTGCGCTCGCAAAATCGCTCTTGTCCCACGCGGTGCAAAAGCACAAAACGCGCGATGTCGTCAACGTGTTAAAGACAGCCAGTTTGGGCCAGTCTTTTGAGCTGAAAACATTCGGCGTCTTAATGAGAAATTCCTAGCTTTGCAGGCCATTCAGCAGTGATGGACCCATGACCTGCATGCGTTCCGGATGCTCCGTTTTTGCTCCGTGAAATTGTCTTTATGTAAATCAACGAATTTCAGGCGTGGGCATTGGGCTTTACTGGTAAAAACATCACAACGGCTATTATGGACGATGGTGTTGACTACATGCATCCAGACATCAAGAACAACTTTGTAAGATTTGTTTGTACAGCAAGAATGCTCAGAACACGCCAGCTACTGATCCTGAATCTTAGAGATATCTTCGTTTTCAACATGAAAAATCCGAATAAAATAGTTTTTTACAGAATGCCGAGGCCAGCTACGACTTCTCGTCCAACGATCCGTTCCCATATCCAAGATACACCGACGACTGGTTCAATTCACATGGCACAAGGTGAGTACTTCTAGGAATCGAAGAACTCCTCTTTCGACTAGGAATCCTAGATCAATCCAATGTATAGACAATCTATCGCTATCATTTTTCGCACCTCGGCGGTATAGGGATATCAGCTAGTCTTTTTCCTACGGCAGTCGCGATAAACGATCTCAGTCAAGTGCTATCGAAATCCAAATGAGGTAGCTTGAGGGCTTCTTTTTTTTGATTCCTCCAGTTCGGGAAGGCCGGACGCGGGCTGCCTCTTTACTGTCAGCTAGATCTCCTTTTTGTCTTGATTGGGATTCCCTCGATACATTTCGGAAATTGGAGACAATGAGCTCCATGCTCTGTCGATCACGAGCGTCTATTGGTGCTGAAAGTTACTGGGAGGGCGACAGCTTAGGTGAAACCCACAACAACTCTTTTATAAGAGAGTGACCGCTCTCCATCTAAAAAAATTGCTTGCACTGACCCTCTCAATAGATGTTAGCGTCATTATTCCGTTACCACCTTATACGCCATTCTTTGAGTATGTTGTGATGAAGATATTCATAGTGTCCGATTTCGCTAGCTTCGAGATACTTCTTATGGGAAAATTTCAGCGGGTGTTTTCAGATGTGCCGGCGAAATCGCAGCCGCTCGTGACAACGGGGTTTGCGGTGTGGGAGTGGCGTACGACAGCAAGGTGGCCGGAATTCGAATGCTCGATCAGCCGTACATGACCGATCTGATTGAGGTAGGCTTGGCAGTGCCGAAATTCAACTTCATGACACCACATTAATTTTAATTTACAGCTTTCTGGAATAGTAGCATACATTTGTTGGGTAAACGGGTTTCTTATCTATCAGAGCCATACTTAGTTGGGTATTTTACCAACAGGACATCACCTTGCAATGGCGTTCTTACTGTGCCCCTTGGGTCGCAGCGCCCCATTCATCAGACAACCAAGGGGAAACGTGAAGGCAGCCAGTTCGCCCCATAGGTTGGCTTACCAGAGCTGCGCGATAACTAAAGCCCAAGGTCTGGTTCATGCTTCGTGTTAGGCGTGCTACGAACGATTCGACGGTTGCCCTCATCAGGGGTGACCGTGATCATCAGGGATGAAAGAGTACATCCATATAGACCCAAGAGCAGCTTAGCTGACGTGATACTTCACGCAAAATTTGCCGTATTCGAGATCACGGTGCTACATAGCCGCTCTTGTGGCAGTCTTTGTGGTTAACTTTCACCATTCCTCTCGTTCAATATCCCCTCTATTCACCCCCGTTGCAGTTCTATAAGTTCACCAACTTCCTCTGCAGTTGCAAACCCAACTGCCTTGTTTGCAGAAAAGTTGTTTCAGCGAACTAATCATGGAATGGCCGAGCACCTTTTTTTCTGGCTTTGCTTTTATTTATTCATGTGCTCAGTAGACGCTCTGCAACATGGGCATAAGTGCATCGGAGGGCGATGAATATAACTACGAGGGACTCGAAAAGACTGGAGGGAATGAGGACATGGTGGCGATCACATTCCCTTTCAATCAGTAACTAGTAATTCGGCAATACCGATTGCGTGAGTCAAAGTAAAATATCTAGAAAGTCACTGAAATGAAAGTAAAGTGAAAGACACCCGATTGAACATGAATTCTGGAGCCAATTTCCGAAAGTAATTTTCCACTCGACTTTGTGAATCTTGGCATATTTTCAGCATAAGATAGTACTGAGCTTCCGACCAAGATTGGCAATAACTTTAATAGGCCATCGTATTGGTGCTTTCAACTTCTTCAGAGCCTGGAAAAGACGAAAGCCATTTAGGAAACTAAATAAACTAAACGCCAAAATCTCATAAACTAAATAAAAATGCATCTCCAAATTTAAGCAATGTGCACACAGGTAACAGTGGTGATTTGTTTGATTAAAAATATAATTAAAAAGAGAAAGGAATTATCGGACCGATCTGTCGTATTTCAGGCCAACTCAATGGGTCATGAGCCGAACAAGATCCACATCTATTCGGCTAGTTGGGGACCAACGGACGACGGAAAAACGGTTGACGGACCTCGAAATGCTACAATGAGAGCTATCGTGAAGGGTGTCAACGAGGTATTGCAATGATTTTTTTTGAGCTCTCTCTTGCACAGATCGTTACTTCTTGCCAACTGGGCTGAATTTAGCACCTGGCACATTCAATCTCTCTATATGTACCTTTGCCATCCTTTCTCTACCCTTTTTAGCTCCTCAGATCTAAGTTACATGGCAGTTACTAGTGTCACAGGTTGTAGAGAAAGTTCTCTGCCTCTGAATTTATGACGATCAACATGCGGCGTTTATTTATGCATCAATTGAGCCCCATCAACAAAAGGTCAATACAAATGGACAACCGCCACGGATGGAAAATTCAATAAAAAAAAAGCTCTGCGCAATGGGGCTCAGGTGGGCAGCCCTTAACATTGCGTCAGATTCGCGGAAACGCTCAATTCTAAATCGGCTAAGCCTTAGAGGAGAAAGGGATCCGAGAAGCAATCGCTCATTCTCCACGCGGAATTCTTCTTCTCTATTAGATTTGTCCACAGCGACCCCCTTTCAGATTAGCCCCCCCCCCCCCACCACGGAGGCATATTGCGCCAAAAACTCGTGCCATCCCAGAGTTGCAGAAAAGCTGAAAGGCATGGGTCCAGTTTCCTGATTTTTTTCGAGTCATTCAAGAACTTGTGCCAGAAGCTATGCTGAAAGCTGAATGTGACAATTTTAGGGTCGTGACGGACTCGGCTCAATATTCGTATGGGCGTCTGGAGACGGTGGTGAAGACGACGACTGCAACTGCGACGGCTATGCGGCGTCAATGTGGACCATTTCCATTAACAGCGCCATCAACAACGGGGAAAATGCTCACTACGACGAGTAAGATCCATTTACGCTATCATACGAGTAAAAAATACTTGTTTTTGGTCTTCAGCTGAGAGTAAATCATATTTCTACTACACGGCCCTTCCGCTAATGCCATCATTGTAAAGAAATTGTTTCTATTTCTAATTTTGGGTGACTGGCAAACAATTCGGGGAAGGGAAAGGAGAAATTTGGAATACATTCAAAATCGATGCCAAAAAATCCCAAACCGGGGCTCAAGTCCAAATCGGTTCGTTCTTCTCAACTTCTTGGTACACGATCCAAATCTAAATGGAGCGAGCTGAGATTTGCACTCTGCTCTGAAAAGCTAGTGATTCCAACTGTGTTCAGGTCATGCTCGTCGACACTTGCATCCACATTCTCGAACGGAGGACGAAATCCCGAAACGGGTGTTGCCACCACTGACCTGTACGGCCGGTGAGTTCCTTGATTCCACATCCAATACAAATCATTCTGAAGATTATATATGTCCTTATTCAGATGCACACGATCGCATTCGGGCACGTCTGCCGCTGCTCCGGAAGCCGCCGGTGTCTTTGCGCTGGCACTTGAAGCTAACCCAAAAATTACCTGGTAAGGAGGGTATAGGTACAGGTCTTGAAGGGAAGAAGCATTTCAATTGCATGACTTTAACTTAAGGCGCGATCTCCAACACTCTAACAGTGCTCACATCCACACGAAATTCGCTATTCGATGGGCGATGCAGAGATCTACCCGACCTGGGACTCACGGTAAGCCAGACCTCAAAACCTCTTTCTTGTGCTCAAGCTCCCAAACGGTGCTCAGTATATACTTTTCAGACAAACGACAATCATAAGAAGAACGCTGATGACAACTGCACGCACTTCGAATGGCAAATGAATGGAGTCGGACTGGAATACAATCACTTGTTCGGCTTCGGTGTTCTCGACGCAGCTGAAATGGTATGTCTCGCGATTTACGGTCGTGGCCTTTTGCTCAAAAAATGGCTCTTTGAAAAAAGCTCCCGAACAGAGAGATGATGGCTTTGGAGGCCTTTATGTCTGCTTTGATATCTTGCTAAGGATGAGAAACCTAATGGAAGTCCTCGCTGGTGTCACTGCTCCTATCTCCTCCCAAAAACGAAAGTCGCTAGAGCTAAACGTTGCAAGAAAATAAAGAAAATGGCCTGAAATTCGGCACAAATCAGCTGGTCGGTAGCATGAGATCGCTTCAACAGATGAGATGGCGCTAGATATAGTTGGTACCGAGCCAGCATCCCAGAAACCTTGGCCGACGATCAAAATTAATTCCTTTATTGGCCACTTCATCGATTTCTTCATTACCTAAAATAATGGAATTTTGGGAGCCAAAGAACCAGACCCTCAAAATTGCACTGAGGGAAAGGCTAAAAACTT